ACCCCGTCTTTATTTTCCCTGGAAAACGCAGCTTTCTCGTGCCGCAGAGGGTTCAGAAGTCGCCTTTAGGCTGGGGGCGGAGTGAGTCGGCGCGAGCACTGCCGGGTACGACTGCGAGGAACACGAGATGCCGAAACCGGAGGACGGTGCCGATCCTCTCTGGTTTGTACTTACCCATCGCTCGCCCCCGGGGAGCAGACGTCTCGCTCCGCACACGAATCAACGCGGATCGCTGGATTTTTAGCCCTTTCTCATGCGCAACGCTTTTTCTGCTACATTTTTCGCCGCTGATTTTGCGTCTTACCCGAATCGCGCTGGTTTTGGAGTACGCGTGCGAAGCGAGCTGGTCGGTGTGGAGAACGGAGCAGCAGCGATCCGGTTATCGGAGCAGAAACGGCGTTTAGGATTAAATTCAGTCGCTAATCCACGCGGGCGCCTGCCTCGGCTGCTCCAGCGAGACCGTACCGGCTTCGTTTTGCTGCTGGGGTGTCCTGAACCTCGTGTGTCTTCTGAAAGCAGGGTTCAAGCATTTCTGTCGTCTTGAAATTCTGATAAAGTTGCTGCGGATGGATCCCGCCCCACAGACGTTGCTGTCAGCTGCGTCCGGCTGTCTGCGCGCTAGAAAGAACTGGATTTCATACCCTCAGTTCAACGTCACCGGCTCAGAATCGAAGAAAATCCTTTTGATGGCCGCAGTTCAACGTCGCCAGCTCAAAATCGCCGCCTCAAAAGCGAAGAAAATCCATTTTCCACTTCAGCAGGGCAGGTAGATAACCAAGTAAAGAGTTGAAAAATAAATCTCACCTACAAAATCACTTTTTTACTTGCCAACGCTCATTTCTCAGGGTTTTTTATTTTTAAAGACTGATTTCTAAATCTTTTTCTTTAGGCAGAGGCAAGAGAGGAGGAGCGTTTGGGGCGGCTTAGTGCAACCACTCGCGTTCAGCATCTTTCTCGGTCGCTCCCCTGAGGCGGGGGGGGAGTCGTCGGCAGGTTTCCCCGCTGTGAGGGGTACGAGGAGCTGAATCCTCGGCACGGTTTCTTCTCCAGCCGCTCTCCTCGTGCAGCTCTGCCTCTGATTTCAGTCTTCGGCATCTGCCCTTTGAAGCCAGCCTGAAAGAATCCCAGAATCCCAGCGTGGCGGGGGTTGGCAGGG